GATGATGGGCCTAAGGGAGGAACGCCGGTACTCTAAGATTAGGCGATAAATGAAAATCTGGTCAATACAACCTCGAACGGGTCTAGAACCAGCCTCAAGCGTGCGGCAGTCAATCGCCCGAGTATTATGCCAATGAGAAGTTTAGAGACAAAGTTGATTAAACAAATTCATCCGTGGCTNCAAAGGCTAGATCTATCTGTTTAAAACCGATGGAAACGGCCCATCCAGATGGGGAAGTTTTGTACCTTTTGAGATAGCCCATTCTCCTGGAAACCTGCATTCCAGATGACACGCAAATGCCAGACTACTGTAACTGGCTCCGCCTGTTGGCTTCACGTCAATACAACATGCAGTACTTCTCAGGCTCTACTATCAGATCTTAACTGTTTGCATTTGACCAAAGATAGACAGTTTGATGTGCATCAGGTTATTCATTTAACTTGGGTGGTCTGGCAGAACTGAATCTCTGAGCACTTTTATTGATATGTCCACATTGCGAACCGAATAAACATGTAATACTTTAACCACCAACAACAACCAGGAATATAGACCAAAAAAGATAAAATATTCAGCACGGACTCATTCTTCGCAAACGTGGATACTGTACAGCCCATAACACAAAACAACAACAAACTCAAATAAAATTCCGATAGCTAGCCAAGCTATCTGTTGGCGGCGTTTATCAGCTGCCGAGAGCATTTTAAATCTGTCACTACCTATTGCTTGTATTACCTTGGATATTTCAGTTGTAATCGTTTAAAAGTCGGTCAAAAACAAACTTTGTGGCAGAACTTGTCTTTAACAAGAAGGACACATTAAGTTAGTGTCGGCTTATTCTCATCTAAACTGACGGAAGATAGCGCACAGAACCAGTTGAAGGAAGTAGAAGGTCGTCAAACAAACTGTAAAACCATAACCCATTCAACGGTGTGACAACTGTGTAGGAAATATTCTATCGCGCTTGTTTCTGTAAAGACATCATCAGGGCTGCAACTGACTGGCTAAGAAACACCCGAATAACATACAGAGGTATTCATATTATACCCCAAAAACACGTTTCAATGGTATCTTCATAGTTTAAAACGTGCGTTTTATCAACGACACAAAATCCATAAATTCACTGGTTTTTGATCGCCTTTAACTATCTGTTTTTATTTTTTCTGATGAACGATTCTAACAACAGGACTCTCTCTCCAGGATCAGTAACGAAAAACGTATTTCAGAAAGAATTCAACTGGATAGATTGTGGCGCGGAGAGGGGGGGTGGAGTAACTTCCATACGGTCACGCAAAGCTCTTCGGGGCTATCTGACAGCTACACGGCGGGGATTAAATTCTTCAACTACACCGGTACTNTACTAACTTCACGGTGAGTTTTGACCCAGGTTGACCAGTACCCCATTGAGCGGAATGCCTCCACCGATTCAACCAACATATTTTGAAACCCATACATTATTTTACATAAACATCTGTACTACCAATGGTGAATGCGCCAGTTTAGATCGAACTCATCTTCCCCGACCCAGTGAGCGGTAGATCCGATGAAAGAGATTAGATCATATTCAGTATTCGGTTTCAGAATAACCCAGCCACAGACGCACGCGGACAGTAAGGTGCACACTATGGTTATATCGTGGAAGCAACGAATCAATGCCGTGTCGAAATTTAAAAAAAATTAGGAGTGGAATATTTGAAGTATCAAAGTGAAGCGGATTCAACAATTGATTGTTTTCTTCATTCGCGGTCGAAATAAACGACACCACACCCCCGAAATCGTGATCAGCATTATTAATAACAATCTATTATGGATACGATTACAAAATACATTTTCAGTATGGAAGTCGTGACTAGTAAAAGGTTGTTCGAGAGCGGTTATAAGGATTCTGACACATCACCACCACTTATAAAAATAAAAGTGACAACACACATAAGCGTGTTTGGGACATTATTGTTAGTCTCACCTTCGATACATCCTCCATGCTGGGTTTGGAAGAGTGACTACCACAGCACGGATGTGGAAAGCAGTTTGTCTAAGCATAAAAATCAAATGGGTCTAGGATCCTGTGATACGGTTGACTTATTCCTTCTCCACTGCACTGTTTGTGTTTATCTGTGTGTATAAGTTTATGACTGTTTTTTAGGTTTTGTGCATTTTATCAAATCCCATGAGTCGACCGTTTCAATTTTTTGCGAAATAAAATAGCAGCCACATCAGAAGAGAACCATCACATCGGCGAAAACCAAAGTGAAGAACCGTAACAGTTGTTGTTGAAGTAGTCCAGGCAACCCCAATAATAGAATATTCAATGAAAAGATAGGAATCACACCTATGTCGTTTATTATAACCGACAGACAACAGCACCGCCTACTGGTCCGATTCCAGCACCTGAACCGCTTTCAAGATCAGTTGTCCACTCTCAAAGTGGTGCGCTCCGGTGTGGTTTAGAACATTCGATTGCGGAGATGCCAAAACATTTTAATTTTAGAAACAGGTTTTTCGTGTAGCAGTGCAATTAACACCATTTTTAATTTTGGTTCCATCTAACTGTTTACTTTATTCCAGTGAATTTGAGGAACGAGGAGACGATCGATACAAGGCAACGTTAGAAACAACTACTTTAACCACAGCTATTAAACGTTTTAAACAATATCACAGTTATGTAGATGATATCATTCACTTGGCTTAAAAGAACACCAATCTCGACCATGTTCAGTCATAATTCGACGCGACACAATCGTCAATCAAGGTGACAACTGAACTAGGAAGGAGACGATTCATTGTCGACCATTTTCACATGTTCATCTAAATGGACACCCAGATGGCAATATACACAGAAACATGTACCGGACAGTAGACAAGCATTCACACCGTCTTACTCTATTAACAACGTAGCGTCATACCCTGCTTCCTACGGAGAGCAAGGTGCATTCATTCGGGAGATACCTTAACACTAAAAAGTTCAAGCAATCTTTCTGATTTCTGTTGCAACATTTTGTAACTTTTTCCGGTGAACTCTGCAGCCGCCCTTTTTCGTGACCTTTTCCAAGTTGATGTGATTTGTATTTCCTCTGAATTCGGTTTGTATCGGTCGAACAGTATGCGTGTCACAGGGGGGAATATCGTCCCCCCCCCCCATCACACACACCCAGTAGAACCCGAGTGGTGAAAATGACCACTTTCCTAGGGAACCTCACCGGAAAATGGTTATCCCACGAAATTTATCTACCGTAATTTAACTGAACAGAATGAGGTGGAGTAGAAGGCTCTTTTTTATCAAATTTCAAACATCTGATGCCACAGCGAAAGATGAACTAACGGCCTATGATGACTTCACATTTGATTGTCTATCAGGCCAAATGCACTTGTGGTGCGACGTATGTTAGTCA